CAAAAGAGGATGGGTACGACTGGATGAGGTCGAATTTAAAAGGTCGAGAAGATTGGTTGCATAGAGGATAGGGAATTGGGAAAAGTTGATGGGAATAGGAATAAGAAAGGTAAGGCGGAAAAGCACACGGGCAGAGGAGCCACCGGTCAAGTCCAGTCGCTGTCGATGTTGTGGATGCAACGTCCCGAGAAGCTGTAGACAGCATCTAAGACGACGAGCACACCAACCAACTCTAGTACCCCATCTGACTTCCCTTCTCCTTTGTGTAAAAATGCCAAATGAGTTCATTTTACCTAAGTGAAGATCTTAGCTTCCCGCACGGGTACGATGGGAAGCCTAAAACAATGACCACTTGTAACTACAGGACACCTAAAGGGATGCAAATGTAGAGTTTGACCTTCCCTTTGGAGTACAAAAGGAAACCGACTAAGACGCACATGTCGGGTTATGCGGTGAAGACCTTTTGGAAAATGGACTCCGGCGCCATCCACTTTAGAGGAGCACGACCCTTCAAGGGAAGTAGGAAGATCGGTGAACAAGAAAACGTTCTTTAAAAAACGAGCTTCTCCCACTTGCTTGTACACACCCACGAAATGTGTGAATTATTGAAACATTTTGTGGTACATTGCACAGTCATATTGTTGGTTTCCTCCGGACTTAAAGACAGGATAATATTGTATTTACTTACACGATAAGTGGCAATGGTAAATGAACGGAACAGGTTAAATGGTCTACAATGTATCCGTTTATAGTGCAACAATGTATGTGAGTGAGACGAATGAGCACCGATTGACGAGATTGTGGCAATTAGGAACAAGCACAGGAGAACGCACATTTCCCTTCATACGATAGTAGAATTCCACCTTGTGCGTGAGACCGAAATCAGCGACTTTCCTGACTAGGTCCCTCGTCAGCACCACATTCCAGGCCGTCAAGTCTCAATGGACGATCTAAATGAAAGGCGAACTAAAATAGCGGAGATCTCTGCTAAAATACAGGATTGTAACAAACACACCTCAGAGCTTGCACTAAGACAAAGGGATCAAGGAAAGCCCAGGTCTGTACCCACCAATAGCGATATTTCTGGCTTGGTACCTGCTTAAACTTGTTAAACGATATTTGCATATGTGACACACGTGTAGTAGCGCCTAGGACACAGCGATGGAGAAAAAGCCTCGTTTTGTTATTTTACTAGGCATCTGTGTTTGGATCCTCTAATTTTACCAGTCGGATCCACTACACACTGCGAATCCA